TTGCATACTGGAATTTAAAATCTGTGGCCAAGCGGCAGTGGTGAGTCCATTTTAAAGTGCAATGACCTGAAAGCCCTTGAACAGAACATTGAGCAGCCGTGGCAAAGTGTGGCCGCGACAGACACCCGCTTCATTTACATTCCCGAGTACTTTAAAAATGGGCAGGCAACGCCAAAGTTGAGTCGTTAAAAGCACTGAAAACGGTTATCATACGGCGGTCGAGACCAACGTCAGTCCTTTTGCCAGCTTCTTTAATTTCGACGTCCATCTCACAGCCAACAGTCGCTCAAAGCGTTGACCAGACTTGCAGCCTCATTGTTGGCTCAAATGAAATAATTACTTTAGCACACTTTGACTGACTGACTGACTGGCTGACTGAATGCCTGGCTGTAAAGCCGTCTTCTGTGTATGCGTGTGTGCATCCTTAGTCATGACCAATATATCGACTCGCATTAACAACAACAACAACAACAACAACAACAACAACAATGAAATCAGCCGCAGATGCAATAAAATCCTCCGACATATCCACGTCGCGCCCAGTCCGACAATAATAAGAAATGAAATGCCATTTATTAAGCATTAATAAGTGCGAGGGTCCATGTCCATCCATCCATTTGCGCTGCACTTGGCTTCGGTGCCCCGACATTGGACCGCGACCGGCTCTCCACCTGGGCGCTCTGACTCTGACTTTGACTCTGACTCAATCTGCGACTCTGACGATGCCTGTGGCCAGCCTCTGGCCAGCGTTCTCTCTATATTTCGTTGCCGGTTTAGCCAACAAACTTGCCCCTCGTTGGGTCGACTTACCGGCTTATGTACCTAAAAAATTCGAATAATAAAATTTCTTGAAAGTTTCTTTACCATCCGTGAGCATAACCATTCTTGCATGGCTCTAATTATCATTTAAGTGCAAATGGATTTATTTATCGATGTTGTCGACGGTAGCAATAGAAATGTTTGTCACTCATCGAGATTGTATATAATGCACATATGTATATAAAAACATTAAACTTATACAACCCTACATGATCGGCAAATTCATCAATTTCCATAGCTAAAAATATCTTTCAATCATTATACTGTGCTGTGTGCGTTCTGCTTATCAAAATTCACACCAAGTTTCTGAGAACAGCCCCAAAAATTGTTGAGTTTAGCGTTTAGCAGATACATCGTCGGTAACTTAACGAGATTCCACTGCATCTCGGTAAAAACAAAAAATGTGCAATTATGAAATATGAAGCTATTTAAAATGCAGAATGCGGCTACCACATCGGAAATGCTTTGGCCCAATGGACTGGAACTGAATCACGCCGAGCTTATTGGATACCGCGTTTAAGGCGAAAATAATTATGTACAGAGCCGAAGCTTGTGTGCATGTGTGTGTGTGTGTGTGTGTGTGTGTCTGCTTTAAAAAGTGAGTTACAGCCAAATTGAACTTTGGGACAATGTTGCAAGTGTAAATTATGAAAATATGTCCAAAATAGTTTCATAGATTGCATTAGGTTTTAAAGTAAATGTATACATTTTCGAAAATTTTAAATTAAGGACCTCATATTTGTTGATCAGCTTTAAATCTGACGCTGTTATTTAGTTGCTTTAAAATAGTTGAAGCAATGCAACTGCAACAAATTTGGTATTGCAACTAGCTGCCAGATATCTAATAGGTAACGCGTCTGATGCTTGTTTGCGCTTGCGCTGACAAAGATACTGCAAAACGAGTCGCGTTCATATTTTTTTTTTTTTTTTTTGGGTAAGCAGGTTTTAACTTTGGACAACAACAAAACGAAAAGAAATTGGAATTCCTTGTCTGGGCAGGCACCAACCAACACATGGCGTTCATTTGAGGCAGCAGTACCCCAAAAATAACCACAAAAGCGGCAACAAAACCGAGGCCCTCGAGCGCTGTACTTGTGCTTGATCAAGTGAACAGCAGACAGCGATGACGACAAGCGGAACGTCGTCGTCTGGCCACCAGAACAGAGAACAACAACAACAACCGACAAAAAATGAACAACAAGTTGCGCATGCTTAGCTGTTAGATACTCGTAACAGATACAGATACAGATACAGATACAAAAGCACGTGCAGCAGGCAAAGAAGTAAACGTTAAAAGGGAAATCAAGAAGCAAAAAAGGAAGCCAAATGTTTTACTTGACCTTGACTTTAAAATTCTCATTGCAAAAGCCAAAAATGTACACTGCACACATACACATACATATACATCAACACATACAAATTTACGAATACATATAGTATCTGTATCTTTGAATCGTTTGCCTCTGTAGTGCCTGCCTTTTCGCTTTAACGCTTTTATTTCGAATTGCAGCCTTTAAACAAATTAAAAAGCAACTGAACTTGAATTCGATATTGCTAAATTAGTTCTCATTCAGTTGGACATAAATATGTAGAGTTTTTCGACTGACTATCTAGTAATAAAACCCATCGATTTCTTGTTACCTTTTCAGATGAGTGCAGCTCCACCTGCACATAGCTCAGTTCTTATCCAAAATTAAGCTGAACACAAAAACCAGTCAAGCAATAGTCCTACCTATTAACCAATATGAGCACATAGAAGATCCCACACTATATGTATCTATATGTATAGTAGACAATACGAGCACAACTGAGCACTCCAGCAGTTTTTTACCCCAAGAGAATTGCGGAACCAACAGGTACGCCCAAATCGAATATGAATATGAATATATTCAAATTCCCTAGCTATATATATTACGTATCTTAATAAATAATATCGCACATCGAAGATGATCAGATGATCATAACAGCTGCATTTAAATAAATAATAATTCGGTCCTTTATCAAAAAATTACCAAATGTGAGATTTTTAGCTACACTTTAGTCAATGACTAATTTCTCTCTAAATTGACGAAAATTCTATTTTGACATCAAAGCCAATCCGATGGGCAACTCATAACGGTGTCCAGAACAAAGGGATGTGCGCACATGAGTTTGAACTGCGTCGTTGTCCCCATTTCGATCCTAAAGGTTGTGCAACGTAGGCGTACGGAGGAGCTGTTGCAGCTGCCACAGAGTTTGCCACACGACAAAAAGTCCTTTACGCTTGTCTTGCTGTTGCCCCTTCCTGTTCGATTGTCGTTTTCTCTTGTTAACCACCGCCTCGTGCTGCAGCGGAAAGGTGTTGCCTCAGACAATAAACTAATTAAATTTAATTTAAAACAGTCCGTGGCATTTCATAAGGCATCCTGCGGCCAGCAACCTCCAGCCCAGTCAGCCAAAAATGTTTCATATTTAATTGGCCGGCTGCTGTTGCTGGTGGCAAGCGAAACATGTCCTAAATTACCAGAGTGTGGCAGCAGCAGCAGCAGCAGAAGAGTGCTGACCAAATTAGAAGCAATAAAAAATTGTTAGACTGGCGGCGTGGGGGAGGGGTCTTACCTCCGTTAAGTCAAGGGGGTTACCGGGTAGACAGACTGCCAAGTACCGCGACATGTTCGCTCCTTGTTTTTTGCATCTGTTTCGTTTTTGCTCGCAAAAGCAGCTGTTAAAGCACTGCGATTTGATGTGCCTCTAAGCACAAGCAGGTGCTATCTGAGCTGGAGCCAAATGGAGTGGATGCACTAAGTCCGTGTCGGTGGCCTGTGTTAGCCCAGCGGCACGAGCTGGACAAAGCGTAGGCCGAGAAAACCCTAAATTGGCTTTTCCTATGGCGTTTTATTTTCCAAGTCGACTCGTAAAGCTTAATATGCACACACACATAACCAAACAAGAGCCCAATACTGATTTGTTTACCGTTAGCGGTCGACAGGCAATCAAAACGGCTCCGTGTTACCTGGTCCCGTGCCTGTGCCCCAGTGCCAAGGCCAGCACGCACACTAAACCCCATGATTATATTTGAAATTAAAGTCTCGAACCGCTTGCCACCGGTTGGCCAATCTGGATCTGCATGTGGGTAATTACCGGTGTGGTCAGAATCCATCGATATACCGAAATTAGAATTTAGCCGCAGTCTTCACAGAAAACTTAACCCCTTTACCTGCTGCAACTGGCTGCAGGCAGTTTGTGTTCATCGCAAGACTGTGCCCCATTTGAATTTGGACGGACTTTCGATTCCAATTCAAATTTACGATCAATTGCTTATTTGTATACAAACAAAACTAAAGCCAGCCCGGCGACCAATTATAGTTTCAGTAACTGCGCTGTGCCTCTCAAATTATTCAAATCGATTGTCAATTATGACTGACAAATGTGCGCTTATTTTGAATAGATTTGCATTCCGCTCAAAAGAATCTACATATGTATGCAATTAAGAGGATAAACCGTTATAGAAAGGAATACAGGACGCTTTGACTAAGGCGAACAATCAATTGACATTATTAAATATGGCCTATGTTTATTCTTATAAGGTTTAAGTCCTTTTAAGTATGTGCTCTCCGAATAGCTGACATAAAGTACTTCTTGAAATACATGTAAATAATAATATTTTTTATTTATAAAAGTCAAGACACACTTCAATCCCGCCTAAAGATATGCTGCACAAAAGATTGAAACATTCAAAGTATGCTCCACAATTTAGAAACACATCGAACAGAAAGCAGTGCAGAGAAATCGACAATATAGTTTAAATTTGTGATCAATTAACTAATTTATTAATTCTTATGCTAGTCGAAAAAAACACAGAAAATGTGCTGCATGCATTTTGTTACAGATTAAGAAAAGATATGCTCAATTGGGTTGGATAAGTTTCGTTCTATGCGTTGCACATTTGATGGCAAAATTGTAATACTCTTTGCCAGAGTACAATTATGCAGACATTTAATTGGCTTTCTTTTTTTGTCTATAAAATTGCTTACACTTGTTTTACAAGACCGTCAACGCCCACACCGAAGCACATACATATGTACCATTACATATTTACCATATACATTTTAGCTGTTTCAGCGACAATAAAAATACGTGCATTGCAGTTCGCTCACCTGTGCCACCTTTCGGCACAAGCTATAAAAAGTGTAAGGGAAGAATTGTGGATTCTCAGTGTATTGCAAGCCGCCGAAGATTCAGAGAACCATCCACAGACCATGAAGTTGATCGCTGCTTTTCTCATTGTGGTGTTCGCAGCGTGCGCGTGCGCCTCCTGCTCCAGCTATCAACCTGGTGTCGCATCGCCGCCTTGCCCAAGAAACTATCTCTTTAGCTGCCAGCCGCAGCTGGTGCCGGTGCCATGCAGTGCTTCAGCTGCCAGCTGTGGATCTGCGGGCGCATACACGGAGCAAGTTCCCTCTTACGTCTACTATGGAGATAAACTGCATGGATCGGGCTATATGTATCAAGCGTAGTTATAGTGCATTTTGCCAATGCCAGACAACCCCAAGAATATGAATTTTGTATCTACGTATCTTAGTATCTGAAAGTCCCTTCAACAAATTGTACTTTGATGAGGTAAACTTAGGAGGGCTAAGCGTTAAACACATATAATACAAATATCATTGTTTTTAAAATAATATTACTATTCGAGGGGCTTTCCATCGGCTCGATGCCACACAATCCCACAGTTCTATAGTACGTTGTGATATAGAAATGATTTTTGCTTAATGATTCGCTGATCATCTGCCCAACATCAGCTGCCGTAGGCCGGCTGCCCCCGAAGAAATGCGTCGGCTGCCAAAAATAATGTCGCCGTGTGCCTCCAACTCGGCATCTCGACATCTCGACGTCTACATATGTACATCGGTTCCACTCAGCCACAGTCGGAATTGTTGTCTTTGCGTTTGTGGTCGGTCGCAGCTCGTTTGTCGCCCATCTATAAAAATCGCCCATCGAAATCAAAAAACGGCCGTCGTGTTAAAGTGATCCTAAATTCGTATAAGACAAACATAAACTGAGCTGTTCTGTGCAATTTTGCAAATGTGATTCCTTCAACTATTGCCATGTGGCACATTCCAATCTTATGTTAAAGTTCATGCGTTTAGTCTGACCCAGTTTAGTTATGCTAAGGCCCGCCGTCGCCAGCTCTAGAAATTGATTAATTTATGTGCTTGTGTGAGTGTATTTCAATTTAATGATGGTCGTTAAAGTATTTGCCGGAGTGTTTGTTTATGTTTGATTTTATTCATCTGTTATATTTTTATTTTATTTATTTTTGTGTGGCACCAAAGATGATTGCATAATTTGTTTGGGGACAGCGCCACCATTAAGTGGTTCTCTGTTCGCTGATTAATCAGTTGATATTGCTGGCTCCATATCCATTTATATTCACACAACTACGATCCCGTGCTAATCCAACGCAACAACGGTCAACATGAAGAAGCTGCACCTGGGCGCCAAGCATAAGGCGAAGACATATAAACCCTTTAGGAATAATAAAAATCGTCGGGTAAGTGTACGTACGGACCCAGATCCGACATAGACCCGCGGCCCAACCCCTCTGGCCCGTTCCGGTTATTTTTATACACATGCTCTCGACGATCTTGGATCTCTCTTTACATTCCGTTCGTACTCTTGCTGTCAATTTGGCCATGTTATATACATACATATCTCTCAGCTCTTTGCATTTATTTTTGTTTGTGCCTATTTCAGCTACCTAAAAAAATTGTTACTACACGAAATGTTAGACTATAAAATAGCACTCTAGAGATTAGTGAGACAGGCCCATGCATAAATTTAGGGTATTAGAAATGGAGCAAAAATGCAAAGGCAAAACAAATATCAAAACGAAAATTCTTTCGATTTTGTTTATAAAATAATTATTAATGGGTTTTGCAGGGTTTTTGGCAAGTTCATGACTCGTTATCGTGTGTTTCGAATTAGCGAAAAAGGTAAACAATAATTTGCCACATTTACTTTGGCCAGAGCATATGAGCCAAGTATTATGTTTGGGGGCAAATGACATTCGCATTTCTCTTCGCCATTGGCTTACACACAACAAAACAATGGGACAAAGCGTAAGAAGAAGCATCAGTGAAAGAGCGCACTCTCCAAATAACATTCAAAACTGGCGCCTGCGCATTTGTGAAAGTGTAGAGTTTTTGGTTGTCTCGCCCCCCTTTCTCACTCTCTCTCTCTCTCTCGTTGTTTCTCTCGTGGACTCCGTCTGTGCTTCACTCAGTGGCTATGTGCTCATCTGGAAATGTTTCCTTTTCTCTCACTTTGGTTGTGATGATGGACAGCATAATGTTTACATTGTACTGCACACTGTCTTGGCATTTGCCGATCAGGTGCCAATAGGCGAATACACATACATGTACATGTCGATATTTCGTTTATTTTTGACATTACTTGATAATTCCCAAATGTCTTACATTTCTGCTTTTAGATTTTTTTTGATTTTAAAGCCTAAAAAATTCCTTGACCAACAACTTTCTCAACTTAACTACAGCGAACTGCAAAATGAACCAGCGCTTTCACTTAAACCAGCTCTAATTTGATTCCCCCAAGTGTGCCCACATATGTATTTACATGTACACTTGTATATGCATGATAAGCGTGGCTTGCCAACAGGTGGACGACCCTTTGCTTATTTTAGACAAATATCGATTTTCCGCACAGCAACAGAACTCTCGCAAGCCTCAATACCAGGGAAATTAAATTGTTTACTAGCTATAAATATGCGCAATTATTGATACATACACATGAATGTTGATTTAGCAAAGTGCATTTATAATACAGATAGTGTTTATAGGTGAATAAATCCGTGGTGCACACTGAGGCAAAATCGTTGCCATTGCACTTGAATTTCCAATGAACCTGATGAAAAGAGTATTTTGTTTACATTTCATATTGGCAAAGTGTGCATTTGCATTTGTATTCGAATTGAACGCACGTAGTACGTAGTACTCGTACTCGCATTCGCACTCATTGAATCTTTTTGAAATCGTATTCACATATCCAGAGTGGAAGAGCGGCGCAGTGGGGCGTTGGGGCAGAGGTTACTCCCAACAACATTTACGCACTGGAAGTGAGAAAAACTCTACACAAGTTTTCCCCCAAAGCGAAGCATTCATGAACACATTTTTCATTTTCCAAATACAGAAACACTTTAGTTTGCGTGCGGAATTGAGTTCGGGTGAATGTTGAATGCGAATGCGAAACTGAATGTCGTGGCAAAGGGCAGGAAACGGTATCTGAATCGAAATATGAATCGAATGAACGCCAGCTAGTAGACCGTAGACCTAAAACAATATCATATAAAAACCGACTCAAAAAAGAAACGGACGTGAAAAATGATATAAAAGTGATAAAGCAAATACAAGCTAAAATAGCAACATAAAATAATACAAATATAGAAGAAATTTCTCTCAACGGGCGCTCTCCCAAAGGCATTTCGGCTTGGGGTTTTCCAGGAATTTGTGTGTGCATATACAAAAAAAAAAAAAAAAAAAAAAAAAGCAAGCAGAGCATAGAATTACCGCGGGTCCAAATAACACGCCAAATATTTATTTTTAACTCAACAACAAGTAATCCTGATGCGCCAATAGCGTATCGATACGACGGACAAACGGGTAGCAAAAACAATATAATATACCGAGATTCGGCCAATCTTTTGAGAGGGGGTCTGACCAAGAAGTGTGAGGAAGCGGCGGAAATCAGCGTGTGTGCCTTTCCAGTTACATTTACCATTTACCGTTCACATTTACTGTTTGCCTGTGCCATTGGCTTCCAGAGTTCGTTATCTCTCTCGCTCGCTCGGTCTCTTTCGCTCTCGTTGAGGTTTGCTGGACATGCCAGAAGCCTAATCGCGGATTGCGGATTGTCCGTTGGCGTCCAAATTCTGAGCAACCAGTGGGGGAGATTGGACAAGGCAATAGTTATTATAGCTTCCTTAGACTGGTTTGTCGGCACATTCCTCCGGCTTTTGCGTGTTGGCGCGTCACTTGGTACTGACTCCCAACTCCCAACGACTCGACGTGGCCGTCATCGTCACCATTTGCGTCCGCTCCTCCGCAGCGTGGGTTCAACTGTGGCATTGGCAGCCACGATTTGTGCTCTTATTGTCGTTGTGCCGTTGTGTTGGAAACATCATCAAAATATCTTCATTCGAAGAAGATTATCGGGCTGACAGGCCCATGGTGCAGCGTGCATCATCCTCAGATGCTCCCTCAATTCAGGGCGGCCATAATCGAGAGTCTCGATTTGGCCTTGGATATACATCATACCAAAGCGGATACAATAAACTCTTCACTCAGGTGCAAAAAATATATATTTTCTATAACCAATACATATATATGTATAACCAGAGAGCGGTACTTTCTGATTTTTGTTAACGCATATTTTGATAATATGATCTCACTGAATTGTCCAGAGACTGGCTAGCACATGTTGATCCAGAACCTCTGGCAAGCAGCCAATTATCATAATGATAAATGTGTATTGTGTACATTGCCTCGATTAACAAGAAAATGCGTTGTGTTTTGCTTTTCCAGGGTTCTGCCGACTCGAACTACTCACAACCGTCATCCGATCTGTCGCTAGACGAGGAAAAGGAATCGCTTCGGCGAGAAAAGGAACGCCAGGCCTTAAGCCAGTTGGATAAAGCGAGGGTAAGTATTACTTGTATTACTTGTCGAAATCTATATTAATATATCCACATTATTTTATAGAGTAAACCAGTAGCGTTCGCTGTGCGAACCAACGTAGCGTACGATGGCACAATTGACGACGATTCGCCCGTTCAGGGTGGTGCAGTTTCATTTGAGATGCGGGAGTTCCTGCACATCAAGGAGAAGTATGACAATAACTGGTGGATCGGCAGACTGGTTAAGGAAGGCTGTGATGTGGGCTTCATACCCAGCCCCGCTAAGCTAGACAACATTCGCATGCAGGTGAGCATTGCTATTGACAGAAATTATCTTCGAAAATTAACTGGCTAATTTGGTATTGTTTTTGTAGAATCAAACTAGACCCTCAAGACTGTACGGCACAAAGGGCTCATCTAGTGGTAATCTGGGTGCGGGACAAGCAGGTGCGGAGCCATCACGAGGTAGCACACCCCCCACACCTGGTATGACACACATTTCATTCTCCTAATTTCTTTTGGGCGAGGTTTTATTTTGTATATCGTATCTTAATTTGATTTCAATGTAATATTTCCTTTTCGTATTTATGTCGTATATATTTTCGTCTGCGTTAATTACAATTATCTAACGAACGTCTCGTAACCAAACGAACGAACATTTAACATAACTATTATTATTCCACATACGTACTACAAATCTATACACGTGAGTGCGTCTCTCGATCAGCTCAGTACAACAACCAAGGTACTCCAAACCGATTGGCATCAATCACAAAGGACACAATTATAAGACACGGCTAATTTTGAGCTGAATCCAACAGTTGATCTTCAACCAGCTATGATCGTCCGATATGATTTACAACTGACTCGTAGTTTGCCGCGTACCGTTTTGAATTTTCATTTAGAAAAATCTGAATTTGGCAACACTGGGCTACAAAATTGCCGTAATTTCGTAAATTTTGTGTTCTATTTTTATCATGCTACATCCACATAATGAAACCGCAATAAGCAATTATATTTCACCAGCATTTGCCAAATGGTCCAGTCCAAAACTGACATAGATGTCTAACACTCTCTCCTGCATGATAGTCACTCAACAAATTGGTCTAGAACACATATCACACAACACGCCCACACGCAAACTCAAGCCTTTTCTTTTTTAGAGACAACTTACAGCACGCTCCTATTCATATCCTACTATAACTGTGTATAGTAAGAAAAAACGTATTAACTGCACTTAACTCTCTTTTACCTCACACAACAATAATTATAACCATATCCAACAACAACAATAATACCAACTACGTGATAAAAACGTGTTCCAAAGACCCCTATAGTACTACACCGCGCAAGAAACAAGGTTTGTCCACGTCTCTCATCTGGTAATCAGAAAATGCATATTCAATTCAACAAAATCTTGTGCTCGTCATGCTAGAAAATAATATCGGATAATTTGTATCTGTATCTTTATCCAATTGCGTTCAATTTCATTTCCATCTAGTGATACGCAATATGTTTAAGAAAATATGATACGATAATTATTACTACAAAATTGTTTTTTTATAATGCATAAAAACAAATCTTAAATATGATTTTGAGTGATTTCTTTAAGCGATATTATTAGCAATAGATACATTGGGCGTTGTTATTTTTTTTTTTGTTTGGTTACGCCCCTACTTTCGCTAAATGTAGAATTTATCTCTAGATGGATAGACATGTTAGCCAATCACTTCATATATCCTTAGACTTAAGGTATGCTTTAGGCTGAATTTCATCCTCGAGTTGGCATTTCAACAGCACTTCATATCGCGTGGTACGGTTGCAATTTTTAAAATACTCCCCGTATTGGACCCAACCACACACACAAACACTCACACACACGCCGAACACACATGCCCACACAATAAAGAAACTTTGATTTTACGATTTCAAAATTATATCTTCTGTACATAAACTTAATATTTGATTAAAAAAGAGTTTAGTTGTAAATTGGCTTGGCAACTCGTAGCGCTCGATCTTCGTACGTAGAAATCATAAACTCGCTCATCCTTTGCCATTATCTTTTCTTTCTGCCTGTTCGAAATGATACTAACAATCAGGTGACGAATCAGATTCCATGGGACCAGGACGACATGGCAAGACACCATTAGCAACGCCACCCAATAAGGAGAAGCGCAAGCCTTTTTTCAAGAAACAGGAAACAGCCAGTCCGTACGATGTGGTGCCATCGATGCGGCCCGTTGTGTTAGTGGGTCCAAGCCTTAAGGGTTACGAGGTAACCGACATGATGCAAAAGGCGCTCTTCGATTTCCTTAAGCATCGCTTCGAAGGACGCATTATCATAACGCGCGTTATGGCCGATATATCCCTGGCGAAACGATCTATAATGAACAATCCATCGAAGCGTGCCATCATGGAGCGTTCCACCAGTCGGTCCGATTGTCTGGGCAAGGTGCAGGAGGAGATCGAGCGCATCTTTGAGCTGGCCCGTTCACTGCAGCTGGTCGTACTCGATTGTGATACAATCAATCATCCGTCACAATTAGCAAAAACTTCATTAGCGCCAACAATAGTTTACTTAAAGATTAGTAGTAGTAAGGTAAGGCATTTGTTCACATAAAAACGAAATGAATACTATAATTGATTCATCAATTTGCAGGTTTTACAGCGTTTAATCAAATCACGGGGCAAATCGCAAGCTAAAAACTTATCCGTACAAATGGTTGCTGCCGAAAAGTTAGCCCAATGTCCACCCGAAATGTTCGATGTAATTTTAGATGAGAACCAATTGGAAGACGCCTGCGAGCATATCGCCGAATACTTGGAGGTTAGTGAATTATACAAATATACTTATATTCACACATTAAATCTATATATATGTGTATACATAATTTATATATATATACTAAACCATGCCATACAGACATATTGGAAAGCCACGCATCCAGATATTCGCACAGGCACAACAGTACCGGCCATTGCTAGACCGATACCGTCTCAGGAGGTGTCGGCATCACCCTCCGCCGATCAAGCTCGCTTGGGTCCAACACCACCAGGTAACGTCAGAGTCAGAGAATGGTGTTCATTTAATGAACGCATAGTCATCATATCATATCATAGCGTATCGTAAACCCCTTCACTAAAAGTCGTGAAATTTTAAAGATATAAAATCCAATTGCCCACTATCTCATCCACAATCCGTTTGGCAATCGAGAGAAACAAAAAAAAAATCAATCCATAGATATTCGGTCCAACAGCCCATAACATATTGAATAAGTCACAAAACGACTTTATCAGATGATCAGTAAAACTAGTTAAGCATTTTATTTATATTTTTTTTTTTTTTTGATTTCGACATAATACACAGTACTTAACTTACATAAATATAACAATAACATGAATATATACTCACATTTGCAATACACGATTTTTTACAACTTTAATCACATATAACTCGTACAAATACAATTCTAAAATTTGTCTTTCTCAAATTCAAATTCCCATGACTGTACCGAAAACCAATCGATGAATTTTCTTGCTCTCTCTCCGCATTCGCGTGCCTGCGCTAACAGTCGATGGCGAGGAGTTTGATGAGCACGAGCCTAGAATGGCGAGTGCCGAGCGTGAGGGTAGTCGGGAGCGAGAGCGAGAGCGAGACAATGGCAGTAGGGAAAGAGAACGCGAAAATGAACGAGACTATTGGGATAGAGAGTTCAACAGAGATCGCAGTTCGAAAGACAGAGAAAGAGATTTGGAATGGGAGCGCGAGCGAGCACGCGAATGGGAAAGAGAGCGAGAAAGGGATTGGGATAGAGAGTTCGATTGGGACCAAGGTAAATTCTACTGTTATTTATAATTTGGTTATGTAATCGCATAATTTCAACAGCAATTTATAAGTAATACTTTCGAATAGTATTAAACGTCATATTCATATTCCCAGTAATTGTCATTAAAAAACACACACAAAGTTACAAGATTTTGTTAAACCTATTGTCAGCCAATTGCTAGAAACTATCCATGTCTAAGTTATACACACATAGTTATAGATATACCTAGATCAGCTTATCACATAGAGTTACATTTTATTTGATTTTATTTATATTTCGTTCACAAGTCATGGCTAGTTTTAAAGGTATTTACATATACACCGATTATTCACCCATTTTGAAATTAAGTTCCACATGTTAGAGGTATTCTTGCGATTCCCATAGGTAGCCAAAGTAAAACTCTTAAGTGGGGCACATAGTAAATCTCGCTCACCATATTCAGCGGTTTTTAGTATACAACTTCATGATTTTATATTTTCATTCTCATAGGTATTCTGACGTATCCATTTGACGTCAGGATTCCATAGCTTTTTTTTTACGTAGATTAAGTTGTTAACACTTTTGCTTTCTTCTTCATTTTGTTTATTATTTATTTGATCTTTTATGCAAACACTTCACAGCATTCACAGCACGAGACATACCCGGTTCCTTTACAACAATGCTATAATTCAAATCCAATTACCAAGATCAACACAAAAGCGATATCAACAGTACAAAGAAAAAGACAAATTATGTCCAAACGTTTCAATCAAATCAATAATAAGGAGTCTGTTCCAGTTTTCGGTATCGAATGTCCCTCATCCACGATGATCAACGAACGCAACTCGAACACGATACAAACTCAATATCATGTTGTTTCGAGTCCAAATGAGGTGCACATTCCTTAGGAAATTTCTGTTTTCGCCTGTTATTCGGGCGCATTTCGGAGCCCCCATAAAAAACTGTTAACCGTACTATTTAAAATCTCTTTACTTTCAAAATATTTTCTGCTTGAGTTCTGCTAACAATACTAACCCGAACGACCTTAAGCCCATTGTCACCGGAAGAGTATCTGTGATTCTTAAATGCATTAACCACAATTCATAAAATACATAGTTAGGACTCGTATCAAAAAACATATTATTGTCTAAATGTGCATTTGCCATGTTTTGTACTCGTTTCTAGTTACTCCTGGCGTCGTGCGCCTCTAGTGTCCTCTCGTCCTCGTCCTTCTACTTGATTCCCACATTGCTCGGGTCCAGTCTAAGGCTCAGGCAACAACTCAGTTCAGTCAAATAGTTTGATATCTTGTCTTGTTTATTGAATATTTTATTGCCGTTCATCATTTCAAGTTAGAATCCTCAACTCATTCAAATTGTATTCGTTATTAAGATACATGTTGGCTTAGTGAGTATATTCTGCCAAAGGCGTTCAATTTCGCTTTAATTTGTTTAATCTGTTCAAAGTAACCTACGCAGATTTAAATTATTGGTTCATTACCACATTCCCCTTCCCAAATATTAACTGCGATATGTTTGGTTGTCGACCTGAATGCAATCATTGTTTTCTTTTATTTTGTATTAGTCCTTTAAGTATAGAGCATAGAGAGAAACAAAAAAACCTTCCATCCATTTATATGTTTATTTATTTATAACCAAAATAGAGAAATAATATGACTTCTACGTCTTTATTAGTTTTACAAGATTTATGTTTTTTCTAGTCCTGCTTTACCCAACTCTAACCCACTTGCAAAAATTTATAGTGTATCAGTACTTGTCGTAAGGAAAGTTCTGATTGTAATATGATACCAAGCAAAATATATGCACACCCGTGTTACTAAAACATCTGTATTTGTTTGTCAAATGACTTTGGAGAATTATCTTTGCCTATTGATGCATTCGAATGCTTTGCTTTTGGTTTGTTTTTAGTTGAGTTTGTTTTTTGCGTTGAACTGCCAATTGATCACCTGATTAATGCTTGACTTAGACGAACCTGTGTTAACCGTATTGCAGGAGGTGCCTCTTACCATCATAGCCGTCGTCCGGCCTCAGGACGACATCAGGAGCGCAGCGTGGGCAGCGGCGGAGTTGGCCACGCGGCCGGCTATGAGCGTGACAGGGAACGCTACGAGCGGCAGGAAAGGGAACGACTCCATGCACGTGATCGCGACCTTATGCACTACGATCTTAACAGCGACGAAATGCTGGACGAACGAAATTTTGAGTATCCGGCAATGCGCAGCGGGCCCAGCGGCGCCTCCCACCATGGTCATCTGTCGCGCGGCGGTCGACTTCTGGACGATACAGAATTTGAGCGTGAGGATCGACTGCTGGGCAGCTCAAGATCACGCTACGGACCCGGACCCTCGACGCGCATTGACGATCCCCGTGATGTGCCGCGCGCAGCAGCTATTGTGGATCGCGATCGCGATGAATACAGTCCGCACAGAGGTGGTGGAAGTAGTAGGAGAATGCTGAATGCCATGTAGGAATCGTGGATATAGGGGTGGGATCAGATCGATTCGAAAGCGCCAGGTTTGATGGAAGCACGTGACAATAGTTTTGATCTTGACACGATACACAAATCGAAACCCAAACCGCTGCTCAGACAGCACTCACACTCTCAACCTCAATCTCAGCCTCAATCTCAGTCGCAACCACATCACTCTACACACTCATACCCGGCCAGGCAACGCAGCGGTCAGTGGTTGTCATCGCCGTCGTTTTCCCAGTCGCAAACCTCGTTCAGTCATCAACGGCCACGCGAACACTTTCCGTTGCGACACCAGCCACTGTCCTATCCACAGGAACGCCCACACAGCCAAAGCCATCATTTACACTCGTATACTTCCAGTTGCACATACCCAGCCACCTCCGACTTCAAGTCCTCTGCGCCTGTGCGCTCCCAACACTATCCTCGTGATGCGTTCCAAAGCACCTCATTTTCAAATCCGGTGTGCAACAGCGACGCCTATAGAAACCGAATCAGACACAAAAACTCAGCCAGCGGCTCCATCTCGAATACACCGGACTTCGATTGGTCATCGTCATCCTTCTCGAATATCGATGCAGTCACACACGCAATACGTAATAAGATAATTGTTGAGGAGGACGAGGAGGATATACTAAGCACGGATAGGTTTTATTGAAGAGATTTCAGCGACACGACACACAAGGCACAAAACGCTTTCATAGTATCGTATTGCGACAGGCAAGATTATGCAAAGATATTTTCAGAGCGACATTGCACAATATGTTTCAAAACTGATCCAAATAAATAGGCTCTACCCAAAACCGGGGGACAGCATTCATAAGACAGCTTCACATAATAAGAGACAAACCGAATACAAGAGTACTACAAGTATAAATATGTATAAGGCTAATCATTCATACACACGTAGCATACTTAATTCAGTGCCAAAACACATTTGTACATTTCCATCGGAAGAGGCCACTTGCATTTTTCCCAGCTGTGCGTCTGTGCGCCAGTGGCCCACCAAGTGGCTGGACGGGAAATACTTACATAAGTAGTTTATGAATAGCACAATGCTAAGTACAGCCTTATGTGTCTTAAATACTATATGTAGCTAATGGTAATGAGATTTTATTTAACAGCATATAAGTATATACATACATACATGCATATATATATGTATATATTGGATATATATGTATATATATATATATTGATATGTATATATGTATTTATATATATATATATGAATGGAAACAAAACTAAGCATAAGATTTACACCTAAACAACATTGGTGATGCATTTCGCCGCATCAATTGGGGTCTGGGAGGGGAATCATTGTAGTTACGGTAAGCCGTATATATATTTTTATGCAAATGGTAAACTAAGTGGCAGCTTTAATAATTTAGTGGAAGTATATTAATCTAAGTAAATGCAGAAAATTTGCACACACATACATACACAGTCACACCGAATACACCGCAATACACTAGCAAAAGTTGACATTTTGATCGATTGAAATCTCTTTAATAAATCTATCTGTAATCGAATATATGAATTGCTGAAATGTTGCAGAAATATCTGGAAATACTAACATATGGTATTCCAGAAACTCTGTAATATTAGCTACAATCTAGCTTGATTCACTTCCTACAAGTGTTGCTATTTGCGACTGTTCTCTAACGCCATCGGATCGTTGGCTTGAAATACGAGCTATGTTCATAATTTTCTCCAGCATTCTCTTGCGTATATTGCTTTCAATTAGCTTTTTCCCGCTAACTTAGTTGCTTCAGTTAAGCAATTAATACTACCAGTGCCTTAACAAAAAACCATTTAACAACAAAACGAACTACACACTGCAAATTTGGCATCCCCAAAATTTTGAATACATATGCATACGCTATTATTGAGACTTGTATTATCCGTGCCCTCAATGCTTATTACGTTTTGCAATTGCATTCGATCGCTTACCATCAAATTATATAGAAACTATTGTAAGTATGTTTTTGATCTGGCCCATTCCAAACGAGCACTCTTTTTACAATTCCAACCACCTGTAAGAATTGATAAACGGTTTTCAAAATTCAACACAAACAAACGCACTGAATTCAAATCGATCGCGACTTAGAGTATGAGGGAGTTTAAAACACCCTGCACTTCCAGTGCTGATTGATTAGCGCTAAGTACCCATATACCTATCGCACCTTTAATTAAAATCAAGGGCAACAGCCCAAATAAACGAGCTTTGTTCAAACTAGCGTCATGAAAGCCTCGTTATAGAATTGTGCTAAAAGGCTATAAGACAGAACCTTAGGCGACTTGTTGATTGATCACTGCACTCCCTATTGATGTAGAAAACGATTCGATTAAGGAAATTATATGTGGGTTGGGGAGGGGGGGTGGCGGCTTACTAGGTGAAAGTTGTACTAATCGCTTTACATTTTAGTTAAAACCCAAAATATAACTATATAAGGTGTGATATTTTTCCATTTATAATTCGGTTTGATCCTTAACAACTGCTGATGTCAGCCGCCGGCAAAGATTTAAATCATCTGTAGCTCTTAAGTCGCTCTTATAAAATTGAAAGAAACTTAGTGTCCAGGGGGACGGATTTTATACACAAAGTTTCTCAAACGTTCAACTTAAGAAACATACCAAAAATATTTATAGTTCATAATCTGAGGACGAATGGAACAACAACCTCCCATACTCAAAAAGAGAATGCAACTATTGGGAAAATTTGTTAAGGATTCAGGCCATACAAAATCGTAGACAAATGTGCATATGTATAAATATGAAACTAAAAAGTATATGAAAGAACATGTTAGATATTAATATTGGTTTTATAATTGATCCATATGGTACCGAAACAAATCATAATACATAAGTATCCTGAAGAAAAGCCTGGTAAAAACTTCATGACTACGCTCACTTGCATTTTGTGCAGCTTATAAATAAAACGGAACTACATATACCCATATACACGCATATACGAACATAGACCTGCACCTTGAAGCATTTTCTATCACATGGATAAAAAAGAAAAGAGACCAGTTCATTTTGCAATAAGGGCGCTTACGATTTCCACCCTGATAGTACGGGGCCGAATGGGCTGAATGCTAAGGCCATATATAAATAAATATATATAAATATAATAATAAAAACGGTACGCAAACAGTTCTTGTATAAAGTGGCAACAAATTTATTTATTAGCTATAATTAAATATATTGAAAATTACTTTTTAATATTAGCTTGAAGTTAAAAGCAAACACGAGCGGAGGAAAAAATATTTAAGTAAATAATTGAAGAGCCCAAAAATTATATACAAAATAAAAATAAAAGAAGAAAAAAAAACAATAAAATATACATATACTAAGTATGGCTATACATATGTAAATTATACAAATTTATTCATATGAATACATACGAGTGTATTGTATTTAATTCACAGAACTGGTAACTCACAATAAAAAAGAAAAAAACACAAATATATAAATATGTAAATGTATCCTGCTATAAATAACAAAATTTAAAAGGGAAAACCGTCAACTGACAATTTGTAAAGGAATAAACTTTTCCAATAGTACTCTAATTAACAAAATTACCTTGCAAAAAAATAATAAAAAAAAAAAACAAAACACAAATAAAATAATAAATTATTAATTTGTAATGTTAAAAGGATTTATTTTGAATATTGCAATTATTTCAATCTAATCCAAACTATAAATAAATCAAATAAATTAATAACAACAATACAAATATTCAACTTTGTTGACTTACTAACATATATACACACACACACACAACATTTCGACATTTCAGATACGAAATTCATATTTCATCATTAAAACTCAATTTACTAAAGACTCCCCTTCTTTAAAGCCACTCTAATAAATGCAAGCATTATTTTTTTAACAACAATAAGTATATGAATACAATTGATAATGAAAAAAGTGAAACAAATAAAAGGCAACTTTTTTATGCACGCCTGAGGTACTAATAGTCGAAAGTTCGAATTACAATTATTATTAAACCAAAATGGGTGAAATTAAAACCACAAACAAAACCAGAATATGAAACTATTTGTGCAAATATCAATCCAAATTTATATAGAAATATTTTTACGTATATGAAAACCGATAACTTTACCATAATCGTTTGTAAATAGTTAATGATATCTGAATTTCCTTATAAACGTTTGTTCTAAGTTCCGAATGGGAAAAATTGCAAATTGTCCTAGATTCGTTTTTTTTTCCGTTGATTTGTTTGAAAAACTTATAAAAGTACTTAAAGTATGATTTACAAAAATATGAGTATGTAGTTAAATGAATGCTAAATTGCAAATAAAACCAATTAAAATAACTGAAATTTAAATATTAATTCATATTTAGAAAATTAGCAATTTTGAAAATCAGTCATTCAGTAATGCCAATTGCTACTTAAGGGTTAATAACTTTTTAATATTATAACCTGGCAGCTCGCCCTTATCTTATCATCATAGTTCAGTAAACCACATCCAAGTTTGATTTTAGTGTTTATTTCCTTTACTTTCCTTATCAGCAAGTAAACTTGTTATGAGCAACATTCGTGACGTAGATAAGTGAAATTCCTGCGACCTATTTGAACCCTTGTCGCCTTTAACGGGTTAAGCTTGTTTTCGCACAGACACAGGTTTTCGCACTGTACTTACAAACACATATACTTGATGAGTATACATATATACTTATATGAGTATATGTATATTGATAAGTACGTACATGCGCTGCTTACTTCACAATGCTAAGTCGACATGCGTTTGGGAGAGAGCGAGAGCGAGAGCGAGCTTTCACTCCGCATCTGAGCGCCGCCGTTGCTGATAATCGACACCGATCGGAGCTTACACAGCCGCAGTCGCAGTCGCCGTAGTGTCCAGCCGGTTCGCTGCCTATTAACTCTCGCTCGACGAATCAGTTGACTTAATAAGGCCAGTGCGACCAGTGCAGCGCGTGCGAGCATCGAAAAGTGCTTTGTGTCAGTTTTATTTTAATCCAACAAATTGCAGTTATTGCATTCAGATTTCAGAGACTGCTTTAATTGTTGTTGCGAATATGCCGTTGAATATTAAAAATGTTCTGGTCTGCGACGCAGTCGACAAGTCGTGTGTTGAGCTTCTAGAAGAGCACGGCATCAATGTAAGTCCATAAATGTGATGCTACAACAAATAGATCACATATATGTATATATATATATGTATATAATAAAAGAGAATATAATTACGATCATGTATTGTGCTTGTGGCTTGTGGTTCTTTATATTCAGGTTACATACAAATTGAAGCTGCCTGTGGATGAGCTCTGCAAGGAAGTAAAGGTGAGTAGGAATCTAATTACATAACATTTGCATCAACATACATACATACATACATATATATATACTTGCATATTTTATAACTTTATGTAATGTGTTGTATAAATTATATATATTTATGTCTAGTGTGCAATAAGTGCTTGGGTATGTCAACGGTTTTTGAGTTGAAAACACGTGTTTGGTAAAAATTAGATTTACAAGAATAAACAAGCATGAAAAACACAACAATTATCAGTTCATGGCTTTCATATATAAATATATACATATGTGCAAAAACACCCATTGATAGAGCCTTTGTTAAATTATTTAAGTACTTTTTATTGTTTATTACTTCCAACTATTTAAAGATCAGGCTTCATTTTGTCGTTAGTATGTAGTATATAAATACAATTCCATTCTTAATATCTATTAAATTTGCAAAAAGTTTTGAATGAAAGATATTCCCTTCGATCTTCAAACTTAAACATGTACCTTTTAAAATATTATTTATCTTAATACTCTACTTTCAAATTAAATTATAAATTTAGGCACTGAATTACAGTGAAAACTAAACTTACTTCTCTTCTATCTGGTGTGTGTTTGTATACATAAGGTTTTCAAGATTCTTCATTTCACTTGAATTCGAAAAATGGTTGATCAAATGAAACCAATGGAACCTACTTATCTCATATTCTACTTGCAAATTTACAATCTTCTATGCGGTGGGATATAGTGGACCTCCGTTTGGTATAGATTCGAGCTGTACGTTGAGATGTTAGTTAATTGAACTTTAAGCTTAGCATAGCCGATTAAGTGACTTGGACCAGTCTTTGGGGCTCCACTGCAAACACTTAGAATCGATGCTTATTTTACGCTTCTCCATTGCGGCCCTGTGCTGATCGATAGTATTTTGATTGATGCAGACTATATGCTGACCCTTACAGTAGGTCACTAGGTTAAGCCTCTTCAATGTGTAGATAACATCATCCCTTTTAATGCTAGTACGCTCGGAAATATCATTGATTGTTATAGAGGGTCGCTCGCCATCCGCTCCTGCCTTCTGGTTGACCAGCTGCTCGAGTATAGCCTGCGCCCAAAATGACCGATACGACAGCAGACCCAAATCGGAGAGAGGCTTCTCTGGGGTGCCGGTCTTGCCCTCATATTTGGACAGTTCGTAGCTGAACTCAATGAGTAGCTTGCCGTAGCCCTTCCGCTGATACGGTGGAAGT